AGCACAGGCACAAGAACAGCGAGAACGGAGAACGAAGTGGGAACGCTGACGGCTACGGCGGTAAGGCAGCAAAGGCTTGTGCTCAAAAGACGACAAATGACCCCTAAATCCAAATATTCAAATAAGCATGAAGCTGAAGTAACGTCGACACAGGCTTGGGCCTGCGCCACGACAGGCGGCGCTATAGCCTGTGGCCGCTGCTTGCTGTAGAAGGACTGGGCGGGCCAGCTAGTCATCGCCGTGGACCCGAAGAGATGAGTAGAACGTCATGACCAACGCTGGCTGGATAGCATTGGTTCGAATGTTGCTTTGCCGAATTACCAAACGGCTGTCACGGAATTGCACAAACGACCGAACGTCTACCACCACGACCCCCGCGATCAAGATTACCACCATTCTGAAACCCATAGAACGGATGAATCCTTATCCATCGATGTCCCTTGGCCGCAGCATAAACCTTGGAAGAAAGGCTGGCGCTTTCATCTTAGAATAGTACGAAGGACGAGTAGGCATAACGACAGGCTCATCCCCCTCCCAAGAAATGAACGTTGTTGCGAGTCGCTGCTGTTGACTTACTCAAACTGTGGGGGCAGCGGACGACGGATGGCTCCTATAACCTTCTCTCTCTCTTTCGCTTCCACCTACGGAGACTGGGATGAAAACTAAGTCAAGTAAAATGCAAAGGAGGACGAAAAAAGGATGAAGTTAGCCGTTTTGACGTTCATATAGATGACCCACGACAAGAGATCTTGGTCGCGACGCTGGTGGTGATACAGGCTCTGTTTAGCGGGCTTCAACAGCCGGTTGGTCTCCGGGAGGTTTACCACATCGCATGTGCTGACATGTATGCGAGATGCGATCGCCCGATTCTATTATTTCGGTATTCATGTATGTAGAACAGCAAAAATTAGGCAGATGAAGGGATGCAGGACAACTCGTCTTGCTGTCCAGCGTGTGTGCATAGAAAAGAAAGATAACAAAAGAAACAGAACAATTTGAAAAGTGGTTGATAAAATCGGTCCGTTAGATGTATTCCGCCCTCAGTCGAGCTTCCCTCCCTGAATAAAAAAAGAAGATCCAATTTTTTTTTAGAATTTTTTTTAATCCGTTCCCTTCATAATTCGACATCTGGGTCACGCCAAGTTTTTCATTCAAGTTATTGAACCTACCCTATTTCCGTGTCGGTAGTGTATTTAACGTAAAACATAAAGTGAGTTCTAGAAATAGAAAAAGAGATCAACAGCTAGCTACATGCAGGAGCTAGGCAATCTAAAAGATTATTGCAATAGTACAACCGAGTCTGTGTAGGAGCCTTCGATGCCATCACTGTCGCTGTGTCCGTCATTACCACTGGCCATCCATCGTTCGTTAGAGAAAGAGGATTGAAACAACGGCAAGATGGAAGCTAAGTAGCGTAAAATAAAAATATCTACGAGACCAATTCCTCCGTCTATAGCGAGAACAAACCAAAACAGCCATCATCAGATGAAAGCTGCCGCATGATGACGGCGATGAGTTAAGTGATAACAAGCAAAAATTATGAAACAAACATCCATCTTAATTGCTAACAAATGGTTTTCACTCTGTACGGCAACGAAACGCAGGAGAAACACTGCCGGGATCAGCTCTGTTGGGTCTTGTTGCCGCTGCGACATTAGCAAAGCGCCTATCCGCTATACACCTAGACACGCTGTTTATCTCCGACCGATTAAACTGTTGCTAAGCGCACGGTTTCGTCCACGCTACACCATCGAAGGTGGATATGCGTCGAGCAAATAGGTCCCATGAACGACCGCACTCAGGGCGTACTAGGACGCGTGTCACACGTAAACTTTGGTGTTGTCTGGCGATATCAAACGACGTTTGAATTCATTGGGTCGGTGGTCGGCTGGTCCAACAAACGTCCGCGATCGCCTCGACAATTTCTTTCTCGTGGACGTTAGGAAATTGTTCTACTCAAGTACTGATGACGGATGGTTTAACGGTGGGATAGACTCGCTTTTTTTTCACGCTGTAAAACTCGCGCCATATCATCGTCAGTTCGCAATAACCCGTAGACGACGAGTTGTTTAGGGAATCGAGGCGCTGGACACTACAAGCGTTAGCTCTCGCCTATAACATAGTAGCGTTTCTCCCTCTGGACAAACGTTCCGGAGTGAAATGAAACCAACATTGATCGTGTTGTTGGAAACATATTGTCGCCTTTTCGCGGACGCTTTTTCGTCCGTCCGAGTAGAAATAATGAAACGAACTGACGATGGATGAATAAACCTAAGTACAGCGGCAGCGGCAGCGGCATGACAGCCTCGGCCGTACCACTCACACCATAACCATGGTAGACCAGGTTGTTAGCGGTCCCCTTTTGGTCAGAACAACAGACCTCTTAAAGAGGATTAAAGATGAGCCGCAGCTAGCTAATAGAGCAGCCAAAGGCGGCAAAAGACATGACGCCATTTTTCGCTCAGCCGTCCGTACTGTACGCCTTTCGGGTCTTTTCGCTGCCGCTGCTCTCGATCGTGTCATCGTATATCTCGTTCCATATCCACCCCTTACCAGTTCCTCTGCGACCGCAGTCATATTCATCATCAGAACAGCACCAGCAGCAGCCATCATCTTCATTGTTAAATAGATCGTAGCGCGACAGCCTTAGTGCGACCCGTACGCTGGGCCGGCTGCTTCTAGCAGAAGCAGCCCGGACTAATTTAAATTTATTAGCCGGTCGCACGGGCATCGCCAAGGCGCCGTAGAACCACAGCACCGGCTAGGAGGCTGCCGTACTACGTCCTCTGTGTTCTCTGGCGACTTCACCGATAGCGATTATATGCCAGTATTCCGCACCAGTGTCAGCTGGGACAAACGCTGCGGCAAAGAAGCTGAGTCAAACGCCACAAGAGAAAGTGGTTGCGAGTCGGTCGGTCGGTCGGTCGGTCGGTTCTTCATCAGGCGCGGCAAATGGCGGTGGGTGTCGGTGATGCGAATTATGAAGAAGACGCACAGGGAAAACGAGCGCGTCAAGAATGAAAAGGAAAAGGAGCTAAGGAGAAACTGAAAGACGGAGAGACAGAGACAAAGAGGGAGGGAGAGAGAAAGAAAGCGAGAGTGGTAAATGTGGATGACGGCAGCAGATCAACACATTATTAATTGATTGATCGGCGAATATACCGGGGCCGATCTACGAGAGTAAAGAACCGGCTAAATCCAGAGTCAGGCGGAACGCCACATTACAAACCATGGAGTGTGAAATGTGTGCGCGCGTATGTGTAGACGTGTGAGCGAACGCAACGATCTTATCAAGCGGCAGACAGAAATTCTAGTGGGGATGCTGCAGATGTAGGTGAACTGATAGAGCCGAGAGGTCTGAAGAACGTATGTCCTAGTATGATTGAACGTGGCGAAGTTAAAAGACGAGATGGCTTGTGAGTGTGAAGCTAGAGGGGACTTGGAATTCGAACAGAAAAAAAAGCACGGTAGTCTTCTATTTTTTCTTAAAACAGCCTCTGTCTCCTGTTATACGTCATTTTATGGCGTATTCTGACCAGGTATCGGATTCACCATACATTCACTAGATCCAACGCGGTGGTATGCGGTGGTAGCCTGCTGTGATCTGTCATGCAGGAATAAACAGCAACATCGCAAAGAACGTGCCACTGCAGCTCGCAGAGTAGTATTACTATTTGCTGATCGAATTCGACCTGGGCCAAAAGAAGTTTATTATAGTTGAGTTGTATCTACGACTTCTTAGATCTCCTCCGCTTACCTCACCGGCAGGGTTTCCGTTTAACTGCTTCCCGTAGGTTATTCCTTTTTTCACTTAATGATGGATAGGAGTGGTTTCCTCGCGCGCATACCTTCCCGTAGGCTGTGGCGTCATCGTCCGCTCTCCTCCTTCAGCTGAAGGGTAAACTTGTGGCCGCAGTTTGGCCGCCACTGCAACGGGAATCCTTTAACCTGAACGATAACCACTGCAAGGAATCTTTCGTCCACCAGCCATTCTCTAGGTGGGCAGCGTTGTTACACCTGACTGATTCTATATGCTTATGCAGCCTCGTTGTATGCCCATGTGTTTGTGTTTTATACGCACGTCTTTGCATCACTTCAATTGGTACCTTCGATATCGTAAGCATATGATCTATATGTCGCCGTAGCGGCTGTAGCCGCTACCATATACTTTAGACGCCGCCAGTTTCCGCTAGCGCCGTTTCGATCAGCTATATTGGATCTGTAATATAAAGTCGCACTATTTTCCGCAGGCAGCAGATTACCTATGGTGTGACCCAGTAGCGCCTATGACGCGAGTCGTTTGCGAAGGACGGAAAAGTAATGCTCCAACGCCACACACAGTACGTTGCACAGGGAATGCATGAAAGAATCCTTATGTCAGTGATTTGCCGTACGTTTTTGTGTCTGGCTGTTCAGCGTCGATCGATTCGAATTTGAGTGTGCACGTCGGGTTCGATATCTGTCAGTGTGCCCTGGTGTGGCATATCGTGCTCGTGCGGATTGTATGTCAGCGCAGAAATCGAAGATAACACGCGGTGTCGTTTCTACATACAAGTAATGATTTTTACAGTGCTACAATGGTTACTGCTACCACGGTCTTTTTCTGTGGGCTGAGTTCGTTTTCCACCGATTGTCGAGTGACAGGATGAAAACTGCTTCTACCTGGGATACATATGTAACAAATGAATGGCACAGAGTTAGGTAAAACAATCGAAGGAAACATTTCACAATAGAAATCTTGTATGAGATAGGCTAAAGCGATGCTTGTCGAAGGAGCTATGCGGCTTCTTGTAGTGTTATCATTGAGAGACAGACGTTGGCATAAATTGTAGGAGATCGTTATTTCAGTTTTTGTAATATATTATCTATGCAGATCAGACTATCTGGATCGACGCAGACCGTATAGTATGTATAAGATTTTTCTCTACTGTTTGTCTTGTTTCGCAAACGGATTATCTTCATGTTATCAATTTGTGTTCTCATATTTTCCTGCCTTTCAGGATACCACTACCCTATCCGGGTTACATAGCCCAACACGGTTTCATCCTAAACATCATACGCCACAAGGTAAGTATGTAATATAGTTCTACAGTGAAATAGTTCGATTCGGGTGTTTTTGAATTTCGTTGCTCACTGTTTTGGATAGCACCAGCCGGCCCAGCAAGGCCACGGAAATAACAATAGGAACAGCATAAAGATCACCGGAAACGGTCCGATCAACACTTCGAAACAAATATCACAGTCATTTGCTTCTACTGTTATTCGTCATTGTTCCCGTACCCGATCTCACAATGTCCACATTATTTCTCGTCACTCAAGATCAGACAAACGTGGGGGCGCTATAAACCCGATCCAATAAATACACGCGAATATTATAGTAGTACCATAATTATGTCTATTGACAGGTGCCAGCACCGGCGTCGATTGCAGCGGCCAAAGATTGGACTACTTGCCAGCTGCAAACGACAAAAGAACGAGCGCGTCACCAGAATATTGTGTACTTGATTGCTTCTTCATTCAGTACTTTCATTGAGCTAGCACTCAGTCACCCGGTTTATTGATCGGTCGCTATTGGAAATTTGTAAGGGGCAAAACTGAACGAACTATTCTGTGTTACGTCCGACGTAAGTGCGTATGGCTGAACAACAACAGCAACAGTCGCAGTAGCAGCGGAGCTAGCGAGAATAGGTTGAACAACTCGACAGCACAATTGACTGTCGGGCGGAGGGGGGTCCGGGGGTAGGTGGAAGGAGGCAATATAAAATACTAGCTAGATACGATTGCTAGCAGATTCTGTTCCAACGCTTCCAAAATCATACCCGGTTTGGGGCTTTCGTTTTACCTAGAACATAAACGAAGCAGCTAGCTGCTGCCTTACACTAGACGGTGGACTATATCGCCTTCTTTGTCAAACGAGACGATAATTACTACCATCGATGGCTGAGCTGCAACTAGAAAGTTGCCGTTTGCCCTTGTAGCGAAGCAGTCATTCGCAAGAATTCTGCCGTTACGACGCGAAGCTAAATACGGTAGTGCTACAACGATTTTTATAGAATAACTATTGCCGGGTGATGTTCTTTCTTCTACCATACAGACTGGTATTGGAGATAGAATATTTTAATCAATATATTTTTTCTTCGCCGCCATTTTCCATCTGTAGCATTCGCTGCTGTTCCTATTCTCGTTGTTAGACCTGTTGTAGGTCATCTGTTTGGACATGTGCGTCTGCATTAACTTTCAAACCGTTGGGAATACTAGCATCGGCAGACGCCGATACTGTGATTGCTCTAGGCTGAAGCACCGTTACCGAAAGGAAAATCTACTTGGAAGGATTATAAAAAGACGAATTAGCCTCTATGTTTCAAAGGAGACTCTGGAATTGTAAAGCAGAGTAATCGTATTAACCATTACCGATTATTATCTGCACAAGGCTGTAATTTTGTTGGTATCCTCGCTCTGTCCTTTTGTTTCATTTGTCGACATTCGCTCATCCACTATATCGCTATGGGCCTGCTAGTGTCCTAAACGTTCCTACCTTGCCCGCGAGGCACACATTTCCCTGACTTTCTAGCTAAGATTCGCTCTCGTTTCTTCTCTCTCGACTTTCTTACCCCATCTCCCCACTATGACTAGCCCTCGCTGAGAAGAGGTGCACACATACAGACACACACTGTCCTTAACGAGTCGAACGAGTTGGAAACGAAGCTGCCGCTACCGCCATTGCCCGGGGTTGGGGAAGGGGAGCAAAACATGGGGTCTGGGTGACCGAATGAGCACTAACCGAACCTTTGCAGTAGCTGTTGCTGCTGGGCGACCGCAGTCACCGTGGAAAAGCGAAGACCGGAACAGGGGGCTACCGCGGCCCCTCGGCTTCTACCCTAGGGAGCAGATTTCAACCTTAATCAGCATGGAGTGAGCGCAACGGCGGCAGTAGCAGCAGTCGGTGTGGAGCCGGTTTTTTACGTCAATTTCCCCATTGGTTTCGGCAGCACAGCACGGCACTAAGCGTGCGGGGACTATAATGGAAGCGTCGGCGGCTGGGTAGTCAGTGCCTCAGCTGCTAACAGGGACAGCGCTGCACAGAATCACCATCAAGAACGGACGGTACCACCTTTGATATCCTCGTGAGGGGGGCACTAGTATAGCCAATATCTCCTTCGCCTTTCTTCTCGCTGTTCATTCGACTTCACTAATTCTTAACCATACTCATGTGCTCGGAAGGGCACACTCTCCACCAGATGCGTGTGGCACCAGCCAATGAGTATCCTCGATGAATCGTTCTAGTGAGGTGCAGTTATTGGCGTGGCCGCGAAAGCGGATTCTTCACTTAGCTTTGCGAGCAGCGACCACCAGCCATAGGGTCTCTGTCAGCTTTTGTTTAATAAGGATAACCTAATGGCTATCAGTTGAAGCCAGCTATGTGATGAGCAGCACAGGGGGGCCTGCTTTGGTCGATGTTGGTCGAATTTGCTCGATGGTCCTGGTGAGGACACGATCTGCGTACCGCATATTGCCACTAAAACTTTTGGGCAGTTTTCTTTTTTTCTACTATTCGGCTTACGTGCAACGTGCGCGTACGCTATTAGATTTGGCATTATTTTATCGCTAGTATGGGGTGCAAGTGTTTGTATGAAAACCAGAATGTCATTTTCCAGTCAATCTAGTGTTCTTCGCAGAATGAGTGTTTCTATAAGCATATAATAGATATTCTATAGTTTATAAAGCTCAGATTATCTAGAACGTACATCGTATTAGCTCGAACGAGGGTTGGGCTAATTGATTTTGCATGTTGACTTGGTGTTAAACGTGATTTTGTGCAGTGTGGTTCGTCGCAGTCGTGGGCTAGAGCAGGCGCAAGAAGCGGCATAATGAAGTACACAAGACTATTGCGGTAGATTAGATACTGTTCACTCAACACCAAAAGAACAATGTCCAGACGACACTGTTATTTGGGTGATGTCGAAATATCTCGGACGTTTTCTCTCATGCGCAAACCCCGAGACATGGTATTTTCCTGGGCTTTCTTTCCCACTTATGCAATTGCTGTTATTACCAATAACAATGTTAGCAAGTGGTGAAGAGGTAATGGGTGATGCTGGTACTCGGTACATTTAATTGTCTGGTACCAGACATAAACAAAAACACACACGCAAACACAGCTGGGCCTGTCAGCGTAAAACATGGTCAGCCAAATGCTCTTGACTCATCTGGCTTTCTCTGGTAACCGCCACGTAACGTTGCGTTCCCCGACGCAAATCTGATAGACATCATCTGGAACACACAAAAATAGACGAGTAGCGTATTGTATAAACGGTAAGATTCGGTTTTTCTTTTGACCCCCCCCCCCCCCCGTGGTTTGCTGTTTATGTTTATGGCGTTAGTCAGTGCACTCGGTCTATCTACGTTCTTGCTAACTGTTGATTAGCTACCTACCGGCCTGTTTATGGGCCTGTTCGCATCTCTGCTGCGGTAGTTTCTGCCAGCGTCTTTCACTTCTTGTTGCCTAGCGTTCACCTGTCGTCGTGTCTCAGTCAGTATGAGATCAGCGTCAAGCAACGAACGTCGATGTTAAGCTCTGCTTCGCGGAGGTAGATGGCACTAGTGCTTAGATGCCAATGAGCCATATCGATGCTACTACCATGACGGTAGGCTACCGATTGCTGCCACGAGCTACTATCGTGGTAAAGCAGCATCGGTATGGCGCGTCGACGCGGCGCATGGCAACGCTCAGTATGCTGCCATACAACGCTGCGTACCATGCTTTTGATGTCTGTCTATACTGGCCAGTCTTCGAATAGTGTCAGTCCTTAGGTTCTGATTGAGCGTCTGATTGGTCGTTTCTTTGCTTATCCTTTAACATGACCAGCTGGCGGTCATCGACAAAGTCATTCGAACACCGTATTTGAGATGACACGCAGACAGCTGATGCCGATACGGGAACCGACAAACGTATTTTTGACGAGGCTGGCGAATGAGGTCTTCTTAACGATGAAACGTATGACAAGCAAACACACACATACGCATAAACCCATTTACGCACGCACGCACATAACATGGACCCGTCATATAACACAGACATACTGGGCCGGCCAGACACTAAATCTGTTGGCGTAAAAACGCTTCCTTTTGCTCTCTACTATTAATACTATTACTAGAATGTTATATTATTACGGTCACAGAAGGCGTGTGCTCTCGACAGCAGCAACGTGGCGCCGACCTGATTCATACCCCTCGTGATTCACACGATGCGGTATAAATCTCGACCGTTGCTAATTCTATGTATGTGTGCATATATAGCTCAATTGAGTACTAGGGACCAGCGTAGACATCTACGTATATCTGTATTGTTTGCCGTTCGTATCGCATTGATGAGTTTGCTCGGTCACTTCTGCTGACGCACGCTAAATTGAATGTTTGTGAATAATGTTGGAACTTTTTATACGTATTGACATTTATACGTACTATATACGGCAGAACGGAAGCGGAATTACAGTATAATGGCGTTTGATGTTACGAGAACTGGCTACCTCCTATGCCGGAAAACACATAATGGATAAGACGTATACCGAAAATCGTATAAAATATCACAGCTGAACCTTGTACCATACTAATCTGAGTTACGTATTTCACAGAAAAAGATGTTTCTCAAAGATATTTCGGCTTCTTTTAAATTAGAATAACTTTCGCCTCGACCCTGCTATTTGGTGGCCAAACTTGTTTCTTATCAACTTTACTTATTTCAAAGTCTCTTCGGTGAAACGGACGGATCAGATCGGTACCGAGTCGTCAAAGCTGATTTAAAATGCAAAACTAACAAAAAACATTCTCTCAGGCGCCACAAGTTATCGATGATGTGAAGCGGCTCCCAGCGATTCGGCAGTGTGACGCTACCAATTCTGCTCATCCCTAAAAAGAAAGAATCTGCCCGCAATAAATATTTAAGTTGCTATTTAGAGCTGATATTGGTAAGAAACAAATCACTTTGCCTCGCTAATAATTAGGGAGAATGACCCATGAACGGGCCGGTACCAGCACGGTAGCTAGGTCGATTGCTGCAATTGCACGTAGACGTATTCAAATAGAGAAATAAAAAAATCTAATACGTATATATTTTACTATGTTTATGTGCTGTTATTGTTACTAACACTCTACATAACACATCTACCCATCAAAAGCATGTACTCTTTGGACATTTTGTTACTTCTGAAGGCCGCGCTGGAGATTCGATTCGATGAGCGATTTACGCTTTAACGTTCAATCTGGGTGGTTTGTGGGTACGCGCGTCTGCGTGTAGTTTCATTGTATCCTTGTTTAGGCCTGTTCATTCATTTCGTTATCTCATTGAAAACTGTCTCATTTTTGATGTCTGTTTCGCTGCTACCCTTTGTCGTTCTTTCTTCGTTTACCCTGTGTCGAGCCGACCTACACAAACTGTGCTTCGATGATGGTGATGAAGTGAGAACAAACGACTGAGGCAGCGTGTAGGATTTTACACGAATTTCAATTTCGATTTGTTCAAAAATCTCCTATCTGCCTCCTCGTCCGTCGATTGCCTTGCCGAGAAACGAATTGCCCCTTGTCCGACGACGGAGTGTAGACACAACTAGTTCACTGCTCCAGTGTCCCACATTTCTCGTCTCCCCTCTCAGCTGTAAGCCTTGATATGGTGGCGATATTCCATGTCGCATTTTCCCTCGTCCCCACGCCCTCCTTGAAGGAAAACTGGTGCCAGGGGTTGCGCTGTAGTCTCTTCGAAAGCCCAGTGTACCGCCGCCACTACTCATTGCCGTTTTCCTCTCAGGCTATTCTGCGCTCCATAAATGAAGAGCGGGTAGACCGATCCCTTCGTCGGACGGTCGGTCGTCAGCACGAGGGCGCCTACTCGGTTCGGTTCTCAATTGCGGTTCTCAGTAGTTCGCGCTTTTGATATCCTACCCAAAGACCGATTCGCTTCTCGTCCGACGTTCATGGCTTCTCATCGGTGATCTCGAGTTCGTTCGCAGCGGGATAAAATGGGCTGCCTCGATCGAGAGCTGAACGAGATTCGCTGGTGGTCCAGCGCGGGCCGTGCTGGTGCCTCTATTCTAGCTGGCCCTACCGAAATGGTACCAACCGTCGCTGGTACGGGCCTTGCTTTGCCTTCTCTGGCTTTGTCGTCTGCTGCTGTTGCCGCTATGGTTGCCACAGCACCAATATGAGCCGGCTCGACTGCACCGGCAATTGCACGCTATTACCAATTACATTAAATGACTTCCGATCAGTTGTTGCTTTGTTCTGCCTGACCAGGTCGGTGGATCTTTCATTCGTTTAGCTTCGCCGTCGTCTGCGAAAGCCGCCAGTAGGCGCGGCAGTATCAGCACTCACAGGATGATCAGATCGCGGTGACTTGTCCAATAGCATATTATTATTAGTATTATTGCTATCATCATTACCCTACATTAAACGAGACTACAACTAGTGCCTTTGTTGCTTCTACTAGCGATGCGTCGACACCTATCACTAAATGCCATTTCGGTTGCTTTACTTGTGTCTGTACCACGGGTGGGCTGACCGCTGTGGCGATGATGCCACTGCTCTGATATCGCCTGAAGAGAACAGAACATCGTTGCGGAAAGGACATTTATAGCAGAACGAAATAGAATTATAGTGGGTTAGGACCCGATTATAGAGAGACTGCGTATGCAGTTGCAAAGGTAAAAATACTATAAAATACGATGTTGGGGCAAAGTGATGCTTATAATAAGAAACCATATCAGCTGGATTGTGTAATACGTTGTAAATAGAATAAACCAGAATTGTATTAGGCTGTAACGTCTTGTCTGTGCTCTTTTACAGGCGGTGCCGTTTTAAATCTGTCTATAACGCAAGGAATTGGAAGGTGAGTCTCTTCAGTATAAATATCGTTGGCCGATACATCGAATATAGAATAGTAACATGTTGGTCTATCCGGAAAAGATATCTTTTGAATCGTGGCAAAGAAATAAAACGCAAAGAAGCCTCGGTAATTGCTATCAGCTGAACCTCGAATCAGGTTGCAACAAACAACCAGGTTGTGGCCACCCCCTAGAGCTTAGCTTAAGTTTTGATCGATGAGGGGCAACTGGCATGATAAAAGTGGCAAACACAGCGAACCGATTTACAAGCGCAACATAGGAGATCGCTGGTAAAATGTGGAATCCGTTTCACCCACTGCTTGTACTCCTTCGGCAACTACGTTTCAAAGCGATCTCGTGTTCACCCTCGTGATCTTTTGCTCCTGACGATTGCCTACTTGTCCCCATCGGCAAGACCTTCTTCGCTCAGTTTTTCCACCCCGCGTTCATTATCCTTCACCCCACAAGCAACGCTGCGCACCCCCTCTTAATCATAGGGCAATCGCTTGGAGAACTGTGCAAGTGGCTGCAGTGACGCCGGGTGTTCATTTCTATATCCGTAAATACACCTCAGGGGTAGCTCCGCCACGTCTAGTTATTTCGATATAATTGGACGGCGGTTGAGGACATAGCTGGATGGCTGTCTGTTGTCACCAGTTAGCAGTTACGTCTATTGGTGAAACATATTTGGAGTTGGTCGCTGATGTTGATTCGAAGGAATCGTTGACTGGACACAACCGCAGTACAACGTCATAACAAAATTAAGTGTTTGGAGAGGTGAATCAATCCGGATTGGACCATGCCGTTATGATAGCTTCTAAGGTGGAGATGGGCGCGCGCGAGCGAATTGATACGCCTTATACAGGGCGAAACGCTGGTAATTGTCTATTTCACTCCAAGTCAGTGTTGTTATCACCTCCACGCGACCTCCTAAGCCGTAAGAGACATGTAACTATCTCCAGTAACCTAACTCGGACGCCACGAAAGTACATACGCGTTGATAGACGGGATGCCGCTGCGGCCATGTGTTACTACGACATGTCGACGGAGGCACTTAACATTGCATTACTCATCCTTGTTGAGCTGAAAAGTTTCCCATTCTATTCTACCTTTGATAGTGCTTTTTTGCTCCTTTTTTCCATGAATCCATTTTTGCACTCGCTTCACGACACTTCTAGCCAACTAATAGTTGTTCGAAGTTTCCTCCTTTTCAGTCAGCTTTTTCGAGATGATTATATTTCTCAACTTCGAAGCTACGACCTCTTGCGTTCGTTTCGCCGGTGCCTACTGCTGTTACCTCAACAGTCATATTGCTGGCCTCTCCCCTTTCCCCTCACATGGCATTTATCTTCAAAGATACATCTTTTCCTTCAGAGATAGGCGTGGATTTTCCTCAAAAATGTTTTTCTCGAGAGCGCTTCTACAGCCATGTCACCCCCATGCACAATAACACCCCTGTGGCCAGGGCCGCAATTCCTCGCCACGGATAGCGTTTTGGAACAAGAGGGTGGCAGGCCTTCGTGTGTGTCTCTTTGTCTGTCTGTCTGTCTGTCTGTATGAGACTTTCTTTGTAGTCGATCAATCAGAGCTGCTTCTCTATTTCAGGGGTTTGTGGCAAGTTCGTACGCCGTCACTAGAGATAGCTGGTGCCTCTCTGCTACTTTTGCGTTATTGCACTCCTTTCGCATACGCATAAGTCATTTCTTTCAAGGCCATCTCTTATCGCAAACGCTAGATCAGTAGAAAAGGAGGCGGGGGATGACAAAGATGGCGGGAAAAATGCCGTGAAAGAAAGCCGTGGAGGGTACAGAAAGTGCAAGAAGTCGATCGAGAGGTCGCTGTTGTGTTCTTTAGCTACGAAAAGGAGTTCGGCGAGTCGAAATCTAATAGTAAGAGCGGCGACCAGCGCGTGCGAGAGGCTTCTTGCGCGTCCAGCTTTCGTCCTTCGTTACCCTTTCACTAGGACGCATAAGCCACATACTCCGCACAGTCAGTCACACGTGGCGGGCGAGGTGTAAAAGAAGCATTAAGGCGTCAAGCGACACCAAACGAGGGGTATGCAGGGCGTACAAAGGAGTTAGGTGGATCATAGAAGCTAGGGCGATGCTCCCGATAATGATGACGCTGACTCTGGCGTTGCTGTAGAGTGTTCCCTATGGGAAAAAGTTGGAAATGAAAATTTCCTCACTGCATACATATGTTCATACATGCGAGCTGCGCCCTGACTGAATATTATGGCCCTCAAATATTATCTAAGCGATCGCTTGTAGAGAAATCGCCAACCGGCGAGGGAAATATTAGGTAGGAGCTCGTAGCGGTAGTAGTTGTGGCCAATGGATCCGACATGTGAGGAGTTTCGGTGAAGAGTTTGTATAAGTCTAACGCGAACGAATGTGAAGTCTAAAAGAAGGTCGAAGTATGAAGTACAGAGAGAACGAGAGAGACTTGCCTTGTTGGTCATGTAAGGTCCTATGGTCGCTCGGTAGGGCGATGTGGTGCGACCAGAGAGCGAAAAAATATGGCTTTGAAAGGAAGGGTTGATTCAAGCAGGCAAGCTGGATCAGTCAAGGGAACCAGAAAAAAGTGAGGATAGTCTACTTGGTGAGCAATGAAACGTGCTGTGTGCCGATTGGACTTCCATAGTTGTAAACGATAAAAAAATAAAAATTAGAGCAAAATGTGCGTAAGCAACGGACGCTGATGCATGACAAAATTTTTTACTGTTTATTTAAAAGTCATAGCGATGCACAGAAGGCGAGGCTGTAGAATATGGTGTGTTTTTAATAGAGGTTCGGCTCTACCTGGAAATAGTTGAAGGCAATCATTATAGTTACATGTAAAAGGTTTCAGTTACAAACAAATATCACGCCAGCAGATGGATAACGTCAGCTTTGAACCATACGCTCTGCTTATATCCTGAATTGCGAGTTGATTTCTCAGCATTGCTAAAACCTATACAGAACGAAAAATGCTCCAGACTTACGTCCCACGGTTTCGGTATTCCGTACCTCGCTTCTCAACTTCTGACAGGTAGTCCGTTTGGTTATATTGGACTGTTGAAAAAGTATTGGCCGTTTTCGAGCCAAAATTGAAGTAAATGCTTTTTCTATGTCTTAAAACAATATTATGAAACAAAATATATGCCATTTTTATCGTTGACCTTCTGCGATTTTTCTGGCAACACGATAAGCCCATCACTGTGGAACTTCTGTGGTTTCTAAGCAAAAAGTTGTGAGAGAAGTAATTTTTGCATCCTATTATTGAGACTAAATTAACACCATCACGGAAGTTCTGTAGATACCGAAACAAATGGCAGTTTAATCGTGCAAAATTCGAGCTATACAGCGGATGTGTTAGAAGTTCCCATCTAAGTTCTGTCGGGTAACCAATATGTATGTGGTCTGACGTTGCTATCGTAAATGACTTTGTTTTTTTCACTGTTGGTGTCAGTACAGGTCTGAATCAGTCTTTTTGCCACAAGCGGTAGCAGGGATCCATAGTGCACGATTTATTTCTAAAATTACGAAATATATAGCATTACCTTCTTTGGCGTCAGCCTGACCTTTACCACAGATTATGAAGCTCGTTTTTCTAATTCCTTTTTATTTGTACATCATGATAGTAAGTGGCTTACTTTAGATCACTCGTAATCAACCGTTTTAGAAATGGCTCTATTTCGTTAGTTTCCACAAAGTTTCACAGATGGATATAGAGCAAAGCGTTTTACTGTCAGTCTGTGTAGCACGTAAACATTTTTGTCGTCGGTTTTCCTCAAACGGTTTAACGTTGTTTGATGGGAAATGTTTAGCTTTCATGCGTCGGTTTTAATCAAGCTCATCAATCTTTATCGTGATTTGTCGACCACTGCAACGAGTACCTTTCACATGGATGTTCCCGCCGACACAATTATCTTTAGGCCATTTCCTCAGATAACGCATCTCGACAATTAATAGCATAAAATTTTTCCATAGGCTTGGCCAGTACTTGGGCCTTTGTCATCATAAAATTGAAAAGTATAGCAAAAATGCTTCTCTATTCCTCGTGGCGCTCTATTTCATGTCTGAATACGGGTATTCCAGCAATTGTAGCACGCTTAGTGCTAGCAAATTTCGGCTTTCAAATAATGCCAATGGGACTCTAGGAAACGGTCAGTACTTTCTCGATGACCCAATACAAGCAATAGAGCAGATTAGAGTCTTAGTATATGTACACACACATACATACATAAACACACACCCACGTACTGATTCTTCTCCGAGTTTGTTGTCATTTAAGGCCACACTCAACGTTACATTTCAGGTACATACAGCTGGTTCCTAGATTGCCGAGAATTTCGATACTAGCGCTATTACGATTAAGGCTTTTAAAAACAAGTAGCCCCTCGACAATTCGATGATGTGCATGCACCCCCGTAACGTACGTTGTGATGGGTTTGGTTGGGTGTTTCTCTTTTGTCTAATAAAGCGTGCAGTAAGCAAGGCTCCAGCGTGTCCTTTCTTCTGGAGGCCGTCGGAGACTATTTTCATGCAAAACTATTGCTGGAGTTATGTACGCCGGCAGACTATCCGACTGTAGCAGTAATTTCAAATCAGATGTAGCTTTCATCATATTATAACGAGCGGACAACAATAATGTCCGCAAATAACTTCTTTCAGTAAACATTGTCGTCAGTCGTATCGTTGAATCAGTGACGCTAAGCCTCTTCCAATTTCGGTTACGTTTTGTTTACGAACACAACTGGACTTTGATGTCAGTAGCCTCGATAGTCCTGCTTCAAGGTCTATCTTGGCGTGAGCACCTTCACGCAGCCATGATTCGAGCCAGAGCTATCTTGAAATGAAGCTGCCTTCACGCCCCAGGTAAATGATATTGTCCGTGATAAAGGGGTCAGCTACAACTAAAGCAATTATGAAGTCTATAACCGTAGCTTGCATTCATTATGCCGTTACCAACTGTAAAGGCTACGTATCGATTAATGACGACGAAAGTACACTTTTCGGAGTTA